TGTGTGTGTGAGAGAGAGAGAGAGAGAGAGAGAAAGCAGCTGCTGAACCCCTGGGAAAAGATATAGGCCTTTATCTCCTTGGTTGATGGCTTCAAAAACTGCATGTATGTACAGTGGTGCCTCGCATAGCGAGGTTAATCCGTTCTGGATTAACCTTCGCTATGCTGAAGCATCGTTGAACGGGGCAGGGAATTCCATTGGAATGCATCAAACATGGTTTAATGCGTTCCAAATGGGCCGAATACTCACCGTTCAGCGATGCTTCTTAATGGCCGGCAATCATTTTCGCGCCCTCCCCTCGCTTAACGAGGGCACGAAAATGCTGCGCGTGGCCATTTTGGGCCATTTCCGGGCTTCCGATGGCCACTTCGGCCGCCGAACAGCTGATCGTCGGGCTTCGTTTTGCGAAGATTGGTAAGCGAAACGCTTACCGTACTTCAAAAAGATGTTTACATACATCTTCCCTACAAGGAACTCCTGCTGTGCCAGTGAATGAAACACAAGGGTATATATTTCATAGCATCCAGTTTGAGAGAGAGAGAATGCCAGGTTGTGTATAAAATACAATCGCCATTGCTTCGTTACCAGAGAGAAACAGGGGTGGGAAAGTCTCAGTGGGGTCAAGTTTTTTTAGCTGAAAAACTGCTTTAATTAAAAAAGTTTTTTAAAGTGAAAAAGCTCCCTTGCACCCTCTGGAACTTTGGTAAGAAAGATTTCTGGAACGTTGCTCCCGACCCGTTTTACTTCAAAAAGATGTTTACATACATCTTCCCTACAAGGAACTCCTGCTGTGCCAGTGAATGGAACACAAGGGTATATATTTTGAAGCATCCAGTTTGAGAGAGAGAGAATTCCAGGTTGGGTAAAATACAATCGCCATTGCTTTGTTACCTGAGAGAAACAGGGGTGGGAAAGTCTCAGTGGGGGTCAAGTTTTTTTAGCTGAAAAACTGCTTTAATTAAAAAAAGTTTTTTAAAGTGAAAAAGCTCCCTTGCACCCTCTAGTGGCTAAGTTCTTTTAAAAAAAAAATTGGGAGTCTCTCCAAGATCCCAAAGGTATTTTGGTTATTGTTATGTTCAACTAAGTCATCTCTGACTTCTGATAACCTAGGAATGAGCAACCCCAACAGCCCTGCTCTTGTCTTGCAAACTATTCCCCAGGGCTTCCTTTATGAAATCACTCCATCTCTCTCTCTCTTTTTGGTCTTCCTCTTTTCCTGCTGCCTTCCACCTTTCCCTGACTGTCTTTTCCAGCAAGTTTTGTTTTCCCAGATTATGATAGGCCTCCTATTCGAGGGAGGGGAGTGGGCACTTAACGGCCTCTAAAACATGGCCAGGTGCCCCCCCCCAACATAGATCCTTTAGGTCTTTACAAAATAAAAGCTAGCCCAACTGTATTTCTCACATGCTTTGTACCTAACAGTGGACGGATGCTAGTTTTGCACAGACCAACCCAGCTTTGTGTGAAAAAGCTGGTGCGAATAAAAACATTGCTTGTGTCTCTCATAGTGAAGACAAGAAATGTTGTAGGGACTGAAAGTTCCCTGTTCTTGTTGTGTAGCCTAACTCGATGAGAAGAAAAGGGGTTCTCTTTTCTCTGTATTAGAAATACAGTGGTGCCTCGCTAGACGATGATAATCCATTCCACTGAAATCGCTGTTTAGCAAAATCATCGTCTAGTGAAAAGCATTTCCCCATTGGAATGCATTGAAACCTGTTTAATGTGTTCCAATGGGGAAGAATCATCATTGTCTAGCGAAGATCAGGCATAGGAAAGCTGCTTTGCGAACCACCAATAAAAACGGGTTTTTCTTTTCTCTCTATTAGAAATACTCCCTAAATCCATCACTCGTTGATTTAGGCTGTCTTGTGGTGTTTCTCACCTGCTTCTGAGAGTGAGACCATGAGTTCTTCCCCTTGCCAGATTTGTTATAATCTGTGTAGGATGTCTCTCATCTTCTTCCCCTCTGAGAAGCAAAGCACATCCATGGATATACACAACAAGCCCAGAAAGGCTTTGAACGATTAAATAAGGCTTCGTAGTTTACGGCAATTCACAGAATCCATGAAGCTGTGTGAAATGCAGGGGGGTGGGTGGGGGAAATGTGTAGATAGCTGGTTAGCAATCCTTCGTGGGAATAAAAACATTGCTTGTGTCTCTCAAAGTGAAGACAAGAAATATTGTAGGGTCTGAAAGTTCCCTGTTCTTGTTGTGTAGCCTAACTCGATGAGAAAAAAACGGGTTTTTCTTTTCTCTCTATTAGAAATACTCCCTAAATCCGTCACTCGTTGATTTAGGCTGTCTTGCGGTGTTTCTCACCTGCTTCTGAGAGTGAGACCATGAGTTCTTCCCCTTGCCAGATTTGTTATAATCTGTGTAGGATGTCTCTCATCTTCTTCCCCTCTGAGAAGCAAAGCACATCCATGGATATACACAACAAGCCCAGAAAGGCTTTGAACGATTAAATAAGGCCTAAATCCGTCACTCGTTGATTTAGGCTGTCTTGCGGTGTTTCTCACCTGCTTCTGAGAGTGAGACCATGAGTTCTTCCCCTTGCCAGATTTGTTATAATCTGTGTAGGATGTCTCTCATCTTCTTCCCCTCTGAGAAGCAAAGCACATCCATGGATATACACAACAAGCCCAGAAAGGCTTTGAACGATTAAATAAGGCTTCGTAGTTTACGGCAATTCACAGAATCCATGAAGCTGTGTGAAATGCAAGGGGGGTGGGGGGAATGTGTAGATAGCTGGTTAGCAATCCTTCCCAGGGTTTCCATCCTCTCTCCTTCCTGCCTCCTTGAATTAGGTGCCTGAGCCCTGGTGGAATTAAATCCTGTAACGGTAGCCGCAGCAGGAACAGCAGCTGTCAGCTCGGGCAAGTAGCAGGAACAGTTTCCTTGGGTTGGTAGACCAGATGGAGGCTTTCCTTGAGCCTCATTTAGCCGGGGGGGTCTGCCAGCTGCCAAACCTTAGGAAGACGGAACAAATAGAAACACGGAGCTTTAAAGGACCTGAAGGATATTGTGCCGTAGAGGTTGGCAAATTCCTTCCTCTCTAAACACCCTCCAAAGGACAAGCCGGATCATAGCGTTCCACTGGAAAGAGGCGTTGGTGGTCCCCCCGAGGAAGACGTGGATGAGCGGTGTGCTGTCGGGAGGAGCTTGCAGGCACAAAGTGAATTTGGAGTCCCACCCCCCCACCCCTCAAGATAGTTGAAAGGAACAGAAAAGGGGTAAAAAAAATAGCTACAGTAAAGTGAATTAGGTATGCCTGCTCTTTCCAGCAGAGGTTCTGCTGCTATGGTGGGGCAGAGATCTATAAGGCATATGTCACCGTTTGGAAGGGTGGCGTCATTTGGAAGGTTTGGAGAACTGTAGTCATACTACATAACAACAACACGGTGAGGCAGAGATCTATAAGACATACAGTATGTCACCGTTTGGAAGGGTGGTGTCATTTGGAAGGTTTGGGGAACTGTAGTCATACTACATAACAACAACAACAACAATGTTCCCAAAGGCAAGGGGTTGACTTATATACATCTCCCATGAGGATTTTGCAACCCAAAGCCAAGGGGTTGACATATACATCTCCCATGAGGATTTTGCAACCCTATGCACTGCAAGTCTTAGGACCCAGCCTTGCTGGAGACAGAGGGCTCACACTGCTCTGTCTATCTGTTCTGTTCATTTGTATGCTGCCCTTCTTTTGACAGAGACCCAGAATGGTGCACAACACCAAAGAATACATATCATATGTGCAACGATAAATGGTGAAATACAATAAAACCTAGTAGCAAGGCAAACCGTTAACATATAAAAATACTAGCCATAGCCACCTGAGTGGTGGAATAGCCACTCCTTGCCTGCGGAGGCCAGCCGAAACCAGTCCGACTTACATCCCCTCCTGAATCTCTACAGGGATGTCATACTTTGCAAGGACTCAGGAAAGAACACAAGAAGTGACATGGAAGGATTTATTAAAACTGGTTTGGCAGTTTGTCACCTTTAGAAGGGCAGTTCCAGATGACCTCGGTCGTCATGGAGGCTCCTATGGGTAGAGGCATGCCAGTAATTATGTGGGTCCCAAGCCACGTCGGACTTCAAAGATAGTAACCAACGCTAGCTTGCTAGAACATCTTGCAAACTGCTTCTCATCTGACCTTTGAACACATTGCCTTTCTATCCCTTGTTCAAAAGCCCTTAAGTCTTTCGTGATGGATGGGAACAGGTTGTGTTAGCTCCACCACTTTGGTGTTATGAGCACGGGTCATGGGAAGTGGAATCCATATTGCGCGTTGGGGAGAAATCTGTTCAGGTCCAGAGAGCCATCTGTCAGAGGCTCTCTGGACTGTGGATTCCTTGCGTTGACAAGAGTTGGACCCAATGACCCCTGGGGTCACTTCAAAGTCAACGATTCTCTCCTTCTGTGATCTAAACCTTTCTCCTCCTCCTTGTTTCTTCCCCCTCTGCAGATACATCCGCTCCGAACGTTCCGTCATCCTTATCAACTTCTGCCTCTCCATCATATCGTCCAACGCGCTCATCTTGATCGGCCAAACGCAGACCCGGAACAAGGTAGGCCTTCTGACCAGCTTTGGTCTGCTGCAGCAGCACGATGCGAAGGCTGCCTAGCCGTGTCCCCCTCCTTTGTGTTCTCCTCCTGCTAATTTTTCCGTCAACAAAAAGTACAGCCGAGCAGTACATGAATTACGTATTCATCCGTCCCAGCCTTCGAGAATCTCGGAAGTGTTCTTCGAGCTCATTTGTAATAAAAAAGAAAAATGAAAGACTGCAGACGAGATGCTTTTTGAGTAGCTGCCTGGAGTTAGCTGCCCTCTGGCGTGGAGCAAGAACAGGATTGGCTTGTTGAGGTTGAGTGGTTCTTATCTCTCAAATTCAACAGGACAGATTGGCCAAAAACAGCCAGGGGAGAATGTTCCACTTAATAAACGTTCTGCTCTTTCATTGCCTTTTTTCATCTCCCAGGCCTGGAGCCAAAAGCTGACCTTAATTAAGGAATCCAAACCCTTCTCTCTACCTAGATAGGTAAATACAATGTAGTCAGTCCCCACCATCCTGCCATATTACGGAGATAGCTAAGGGTGGAATTAAAAGATTGCATTGAGCGGGGTTTGTGCTTTGCTTTGCTTTTCACCATCTCACCCAATTCTAATCGGTGACACCGCTAACGTGACAGCCTCTCTGTTCCGGGGTTTGCCATCGTCACGAAGGAAATGTGAGCATCAGATTATTTCCTCTGCCTTTCCCCACTGGATTATTTGCAAGTAAATGAACACAGCTCAAACTGAGTGTATTTGGGAGATGTGCACAAATACTCTTGGATCAACGGAAGGCACGCTAGTGCTTCTCTAGGTGGCTCAGAAATTCTTCTGTCCTGTTGGCTGAAATCCTATTACTTAGTATCGTAAGCCTCAACAAGAGTGGGCCCTTGGAATCAGTGGGGTGTTGGGCAAGTCAACTGCTCTGTTAAGTCCCATTAATTTAATATTCTACTGTACTTGTGATTTACAAGTCTAAAAGAACTGAGCATGTTTCACCTTCAGAAAAGAAGACGAAGGGAAGGCTTTGAGTTTTAGCTCGGCCGAGCTTGACCCAGACTTCCTGTTTCTGCAGCCGTTTCATTCTGAGCAGAAAGCTTTGCATTTTAAGCCTTTCTCCCATGTGCATCGCGTTTAGGTATTTGTAAGGTGTCTGTATAGTAGAGAGAACACCCAAAATGGAGGATTGTGGTATTTGTAGTCCATAAAATTGAAAAATCCCATCCCTATAACTCTCCTTGCAGGGTAGGGTCCTACTTCTGATGGCATTCATCGGCTCTTCCTGAGCAAGTGGTGTTTTGGAGGAGAGTCTCGACATTGGGCAGACAGTGACTCACGAGCATCTCCCCTTCCCCACTTCCTCCTGCATCTCATAAGGATGTTTCCCACCCTTGCTCTTCTGGATAGTTGCTCTCTGCAAGGTCCTTTGAAAATGAAAGGTCTCCATTAAGAGATGCATTTCTTCCTCTCTAGTGTTGTTGTTACTGCTGCTGCTGCTGCCATTACTGCCAGTCCCATTAGACAAAAGGAAGGGGGCCTCCGCCTTGCTACTCTCGGCTTTAGCTTGGCTGCCTTTTCCATTATTAAACCACGCTCGGCCAAGCATTACCGCCTGCTTCAAAGGGAAGGAGGAAGAAAGGGTTTCACTTCAGAAGGCAGAAGGAAAAGAGGCTTGATGGGCTGGAATCGCACACAAAAGTAATCACGCCGGCTGGCACCACTCCCTGAGCTGGAGTATTTGGACTGAGCTGTATGCATCGGAGAGAAGCGCACTAAGGTTTTCAGATCTCAGGATGCCACCTTCAGTCTTCAGGAACAATGCTGCTTTCTGGGGTCTTCAGGGAATAGACAAACCCCAAGAGGGGCAGGACCGGAGGAGAAGAATGTTTGAGACTTATGAAGAGTTGGGCACAAACCAGTTTGTCCCCTTTGTCCAAGCAGCACTCGCCCGCCTCCTCTGGCTCAATCGGCCTTTCATCAGGTCCAGTGTGGTACGTTCCTTCCACTCCTCGACTGATCTTCCAGTCCTGGCAATCTTCAGGGAATAGACAAACCCCAAGAGGGGCAGGACCGGAGGAGAAGAATGTTTGAGACTTATGAAGAGTTGGGCACAAACCAGTTTGTCCCCTTTGTCCAAGCAGCACTCGCCCGCCTCCTCTGGCTCAATCGGCCTTTCATCAGGTCCAGTGTGGTACGTTCCTTCCACTCCTCGACTGATCTTCCAGTCCTGGCAAGAGCTCAGGCCTTTGTCCAAGCAGCACTCCCCCACCTCCTCTGGCTCAGTCAGCCACTCATCAGGTCCAGCGTGGTAGCTTCCTGCACCTCCCCGACTGATCTTCCAGTCCTGGCAAGAGCTCAGGCTTCTCTGCCCCGCCCCTCTGGGCTGATCTCCCAATCAGAGAAAAAGGGCGGGGCAGAGAAGTCTGGGCTCTTGCTCGTGACTGGGAGATTAGCTGAGGAGTTGGGAAAAGCAAGCCAGCTGGGCCTGGGGAGTGGCCGAATCAGCTGAGGAGGCAGCGAGATGAATTGTTTCGTGCCCATCTCTAGTCTTATGTGTCAAGCGGCTCCAAAGCCTCGGCAGCTATCACCCGCACATCCCCTGCTGGAACCACGGCTCAACATACAGCAGTTTGTGTGTTCAGATTATACAGATTTGGTTTCCCCCCCAAAAAATAGGACCAAGAGGAGAGTGTGGGAGAGACCACTCCTGGTTGCATGCAGGGCGGGCTTCTTGGGTTATTTGTAGCAATTCAAGAAAGAGAGCACCAGCATTATGGTGTAAACCCTGGCATCAGTGATGCAGGGACTCTTTGGGAAGGGAACACGGACCTAGGACTCAACAGTATTCCTTTGACAAGCCCTACCGACACTGTAGGTTGGGAAAAAACACATTTTTCTTACGTGATGCCTGTAAGGCCATGTTGAGGCCCCAGAAGGAATGGTGGCAACCCACCATGCCTTCTGGATGTACTTTTTGCCATCCGCCTGGCAGCTTGAGACCCTTTGACCGGAAAGTCCAAGATCATCCATACTACCACAGTCCTTTTCCGACCAAGTCCGAGATCATCCATACTACCACAGTCCTTTTCCTAGGAAAGCTGGATAGTAACAGGGAAAAGATCAGTTTGTTCAAAGTGCAATGCTGGAAGGGAGCTTTACAGATCTCCTGGACCACCAGACAAGTGGGTTCTAGATCAAATCAAGGCTGCACTCTGCCTAGAAGCAAAAACGACACAATTCAAGCTGTTGTGCTTGGGCGCATGATAACAACACAAGACTGTCTAGAAAAGACAATAGCACTGCAATAAAAGTTGGAGGTGACCAGAAAAGAGGAAGGCTAACTATAAGAATGACTGCGTCAACAGTCCCTAGCAGCCATAGCACAGGGTCCACAAAAAGGTCTGGCTGGTAAAGAAACTGGAGTCGAGCTGCATTGTAGGGTTTGGAAAAACTGTCCCAGTGCTGTACACAATCTAGTTAAGACCTCATGGGGTGCAGGTCCGGGTTGGAACAGTGGCAGTGGCTGAACACCTTTTTCTGCATGAATGGCTGTTGGAAAACATTGGGCTTCTGGTTTGGTTTGCCGTATTCTTTGATGAGTTGAGGTTCTGGTTCATTTGCCAAACACACACACACACACACACAAAGAGAGAGAGAGATTTGTAGTTTGTTGGGGTGTCTTTTCACAGTCAGCTAGTCTAGACACCCTGCTATGGTGATCCATCCTAGTGAGAATATAAGGATTTGCCTGGTGGCTTCAGTATGTGGTGCATGAAATCTCACAGAAGGGTTGCTGCTGATCTAGAAACCCTACACAGGCCACATCGGCTCTCTCACGCCACACTGTCTACCTTAACGTAGACCAGTGTCCTACCACTGGGGTTCTTAATCTTGGGTCCACAGGTGTTCTTGGATTGCAACTCCCAGAAGCCTTCACCATGAGCTGTGCTGGCCAAGATTTCTGGGAGTTGTAGTTCAAGAACACCTGGGCCACCCAAAATTGGGAACCATTGTTCTACAAGACCAGATCAAATGAGCGGCTGTGCTTTCTCTGTCTCCCGGTCCAACTGTCTCTCCACCTCGATTTGCTCCTCCTTCTTCTGACCTGCCTCCCTTTTGGTCTCCTTTTCCAGGTGATATGCACTTTGGTGGCTGCCTTCCTGCACTTTTTCTTCCTCTCCTCCTTCTGTTGGGTGTTGACCGAAGCTTGGCAGTCCTACATGGCCGTGACGGGCAGGCTGCGGAACCGCATCATCCGTAAACGCTTCCTGTGTCTCGGATGGGGTGAGCATCCTTTACTCAGTTGTGGAAAGAAGTCATTCTCATCCATTAGCTGTGTAGCAAAACTATTAAGTTCAATGTAGGTCAAAGGGATAGATTTGACTCTTGCTTAACAGTGTTTCTTTGCTCAGAAACTAAAAAAAAAGACAAAACTGAAATATTTATTGCAATTTATTCATTGTTGTTATTTTTAATTGCACAGCGAAGAACTGCTTTTTGATGTGCAGGACTATAATGGTGGTAATTTTTTCCATTTCTCTTTGAAGTCATCTGGAAAAAAGAAGTTAAATGGGGAGAATCATAGCTAGACATGGTTCTAAGCAAAAGGCTTGATCTTTTCAAGCTCTTGAGTCCGTGGACAGAATAATTTAAAATTACTGGAAACACTATTTGATTCACCGCTCAGTGAATCTTCTAATAATAATAATAATAATCACATACCATCAAGTCAATTCTGACTTATGATGACCCTTTTCAGGATTTTCCAGGCAGAGAATACTCAGAAGTGGTTTCCCAGTCTTAAATTCAAATACTCAAAGAGGTGCAAATTCTCGGTTATAAAAAAAACATGCTGAAAATTACTGGGGGTTCTTCCCCCCTGACACACACATTTTGGAATGAAAAGACTTTGGGCTTCCAGACAAATGGAAGGAATCAAAGAGGACAGATTGATAACTCAGATGACAGGATATGGGCAGTGGCAGATGGGGAAGAATTTTGTTTCAGGGAGGTGGGGGTGGTTTTTAAACAAGTTTCCCCAAATGAACAAATTTATTCACAATTGCAGAAACTTGACATTTTGCCGATTCGGAGGTCTCAGAAACGTAGCTTTCCCTTGGCAGCATTCCCTTTCCTTTCCTCCATGCAGCTTTCCCACCAATTCGATTCTGGCACGAGGAATCTTTTTGCACACTCTCGTGCACATCAACAGCAAAAGGACTGAAGCAGAAATCCTGCACTAGGAGTGGACGCCCTCCATCTCCTGCAGATGCTTTTCTAGGGCTCTGGCTACATGGAGAGTATTTGTGCACCATCAAATTTGCTGCCATGGTACTTCTTCCTGACCATGGTGATGGTGGTTGTTTGGTCATTAAGTCCTTCCCAACCCTTCGCGACCCCATGGACCAGAGCACGCCGGGCCCTCCTGTCTTCCACTGCCTCCCGGCGTTGGGTCAAATTCACGTTGGTCGCTTCGACAACCCTGTCCATCCATCTCGTCCTCGGTCGTCCCCTTCTTCTCTTGCCTTCACATTTCCCCAACAGAGGCTTTTCCAAAGAGTCTTCTCTTCTCATAAGATGGCCAAAGTACTGGAGCCTCAGCTTCAGGATTGGTCCTTCCTGTTCATCTATCTACCTCTATTGAGTTTTATAATAATTGCATGTCATCCAGTCAGTTCTGTTTTACGGTGACCCTTTTTCAGGATTTTCTAAGTAGCAAGTCCTCAGAAGTGGTTTACACTTTCTCTTCTGGAGGTGTCCTGGTATTGCAGTGTAGCTACTCCATGGCCATTACAGGCTGGCCTTTTTTTTCTGGAAGGCTCAGTCGGGGTCCTGAACTCATTCACAGACAGATGCCTAAACAACCGAGCCGCCAGCCAGTTTAGTTTTAAATAAACACATGCTTTATTTATTGATTTAATCTTCTTATACCCTGTTCTTCTTTTCTAGCACTGGAACAAACCAGGCTTAACCACACAAAGTAACGAAAGTCCTCAAATCATGGAATCATACAGCTGGAAGGGGCCTCCAAGGCCATCAAGTCCAACCCCCTACTCAAGGCAGGAATCTGAATAATTTTTTTAAAAAAAATCCTTAAATTGAAACTTCAGAGCATTTTAACCTAAATACAGATTAAAATTAAAGATGGACACAAACCGAACTACGAACCAGAAAAAACCCCGAACTGGGCTGGTATGGTTTGGGTTGCAACCCAGTTCGCGGATCCTGTCTTGACGAAGGAAAACGAACTGCGAACTTTTTTCCCCTCTGCGCTTCATTTGGTTTTGGCAAAATGGAAATCACCTTCCCTTCCTGGTTCCTTTTGTTAGGATCCGTGATGGTTTGCGGTTCGTGGGTCGCCATGAACCACAAACCAGCCCGATTCGTCCGTGTCACCGTTTGCGCCAATCTCTAATCAAAATGTTTGTAAACCAGATTCTAGTCACGGAAGGCATACGAAATATACAACCAGATTACAAACAGTTGTGGCCACGCTTGAACTAGGGATTTTTCCCAACCTCCGAAACACACCTTACCTTTTAATTGCTCATGTCTCCATTGTCAAACATGTTCTCTAATTGTTGCATTTCCATATATGATGCATCTTTCACTGGGGAGCTCAGAGGTTTACGTCTCTGGCTGTGGAGTTCGATTCCCCACCGGGCCTCCTTGAGATGGGCTAAACTCGATGAACCAGCTCTTCAGTTCTAAGATGATAGTGATGGTGATGATAAAGAAAGAAGCAAGACTAGAGTGGGGCACTGGAGGCTCTGATGCTGAAATTTAAAGGGTGGGAATATTTGCAGCTAAAGGGGTATGAAGACACCTGCCCTAGGTATGGCTTTCACATGTGCTCCTCCTCTCTGATCAGAAGGAAACACCAAACAGATGATGATGATGATGATGATGATCATCATCATCATCATCATCATCATCATCAGTATCAGTATCATTATTATTATTATCATTATCATTATTATAATATATTCATAGAAATGTATTATAAAGCTGATTGCCATAATGCAACTTACGTGAAATGGCAGCAACGGAAAAGTTTGATTCGATGTAAGTTTTTATGCAATGCAGCCCAAGAGAGTATCTGGTGAAAGGAACTGCAGTCTACACGAAAACCATAGGAGAAATAAAATCTGTTCATCTGCCAGGTGCCACAAGACTCTTTGTCATTTGTGAAGGAAGAGACCTAACAGGTCCACCCTTCCTTCCAATATATGCAGAAAGGAACATAAGGTCTTTAGGCAAGACAATTTACATCCCATGGATTTAAATGTATCAGCTCTGGATCTGGATTCAATCTCTTGCTCTTGGACTTAGAGAGCAGATCAGGGATCTAAACCCTGGCTTATTTTCTTCTTGCGGACAGGAATGAAGAATTTCAAAAGCTTCTCTATGCTGAGTAAGAATTACAAAGATTTAGTGCTCCTTCCTTCC